CAATTACTGGATAATGCTGTAAGATGCAGTGAAGGATTAATGAATAAATGGCTTAATGGTGTTAGACACAGTCTGTCGCCTAAGTCAGGCTTAACTCCTAATGACTTTGTCGACACATCCATGTAGTTTTCTTGGCAGCAGTTCAGATGGGATACACCACTGCATTCTTCCAGAATGTTTTTTTCAACTTTCCAGCCTACAGCCTCATTACTTGGTGGTTGCCCATCCACATGCTAACCAGATCCAACTCTCCTTAGCTTTTCAAGATCTGCTGTTACTGCCACCTACCTGCACTCTGTTTATTTAATCCTCTGACCATGGTTCATTTCAGAACCTAAGCAATGGTAGACATGGTTTGTATTTAGATGGGGAATTCCAGTCCTGTTGGAAAGTTGAAAAAATATCCCCAAAGATGGCAAACTAATTTCCTAATGTTGTCAAGGGAACTACAGGGATATAGTCACTAGGCATCAAGCTTGATTTGAGGGCACATTTATATTTGAACAACTCAGTTTTGTTCCAAACTTTCCCCAAGATGCTCAGGTTGGTGTCCCAAAGAAATATTAAGAAAAAAATTCTCTGATAATTTAGATTAAAAAAAAACCGAAGCCAACACTCTTATTGTGTATTTCATATTAGCAGAACAACTCTATTTTACATACTGGGAAGAATCATCGCTTTCTGCAGTAATCTAATTAGGGGCAGCGCTCTGACTTTGAAACGTATGAACCCGGCTTTGGGTAACAAACTAATTTACCTTCTGGCAAACTATAAGAACGCCCTAACACCTTACAGGGAAACAGCGCGTGCGTGTGCTGTATATCCCTCGACAGAATTCATTCCCAGTTTCGTACCTCCACAGCTGTCCTTTCAACCAGTCAGTGCATTACGGCGTGAGCTTCTGTAGTTTTTGGCTGGACACATACGCGTCAGCTCCGGCTCTACATAGCAGCATTCCTTTAACAGCAAGATCCAATCCACATCCAGCAGAACGAACAGTCCACCACCTCCAAAACTGCAATCGGAATTGCGCTAAGTAAATCGACTAAGCTGCGCCAAGTTTGCACACCGCTGCTTCTATTGGCCCAACGTCACCACGGTTCTCACCAATAAGCGGCACGTGTAATCTCGTTCCCCGCCCACTCGTTCCATTCCCGCTCTGACGGCCGCCGCCTCGTAATGACGATGGGAAATGGGCAGGGCCTAAATTAGGTCCTTCCCCCTAAAGAGCCGTTGGGGCTGCCAATCGTGGTTAGGGACGCGGCGTGTCTTCGCGAGCTCCCTTCCTTGTTTTCTAGCCCGGTCGAGGATGGCGAGGCAGGGCTGCTTGCGGCACCACAAGGTAAAGCTTCTTACCAGAGGAGCGCCAGAAATTGCGGGGAAGAATAAACCCGTTTTGAGGGTAAAAACTGCTGTTACACAGCCCCTGTTGTTTTCATTGCAATTAACTGTGTATCTCCACGAGTGGAAGGAAGCTTTTTGCAAGGCACGTTTTGCTTTGTTTTTTCCCTTTGATTGCAGCAGAGCAAAAGGGTGGCGGGGTTTTTGAAAAAGAAAGGTAATCACCGCAACGCCTAACTCTCTGAATCGGGTGTGCTGGGCGTTTTCGATGTGGAACTTGGAGCAGAAGTAGAACAAACGAGTGCAAGCCCTTCAGTGACACAAAACTGTAATGGTTTACGGTGAGATGCAGATCTGGATTCCTTCCAGCAGGCAGTGTCTCTTTTCAGGAGGAGGAAGACTGGATTCAACACATTTTTTAAAATAATAATACTGAAATAAGGATAATTCACTAAAGTGGGTATAAGGAGTGAGAGATTGTTTAATGAACTGAAGGAGACAATAGATCTGACTCTACCTGTTTTAACATCAGCGAAATTCGGTTGCTGAAGTGACAACAATTTGCAGGAACTAGGAGTGACGTTTTGGACAGGATTCTGAGATTTCACCAGTTTGGAGAAAATTTCCGGACTCAAAATTCTTTAAGCATGTGCCTCTTGCATGAGGATCTGTTTGGTTGGATCTCAGGATTCTAGTAGGAAAGAAAATACAATCTACAACTGTGATGATCTCTGGGTGACCCAGTAACCGTAGTGTTTCTGCAAAAAAGAAAAGGGGGGAGGAAGAGAAAGCCCATTCAGACACACTTCTAGAATTGGTACTAATTGTAATAATGGTAGTACAAAACTCTCAAGTACCCAGTGAGTTATATCCTGCATTTTCAACAGGAGTTCAAGGCACCTGTACAGGTGACACCTTTCATCTGATCCCCACAACAGCCTTGTGAGATCAGTTGAGCTCAGACAGACAGACAGACGGACTGGCCTCAAGTCTATACTGTGTTTGCCTGGCTGAGGGTGGACTCTTGACACTTTAACCATTACGTTTAGCAAATTGGAGTGGAGGGTAAGGGAGGCAGGATGACAACATGACAGTATTGTGACTGCCCTTTTTGTACATGATTTGACCTAGCTGTGTGAAAGGGCAATGTTTGTGGTGTGACATTGCCAAGCTACTTTTGTCATCTTGACAAAAGCAGCCAGTTCCTGCAGGTGCCCATCACTTCATTAAGATAGACTTTGCTTCAGTCTTCTCTAAAACTAGTGCAGGTATATATCATATTTATTAATGTATTCATATAGGGCCAGCTATATGGGTTCAGTATAGCAACCTGAAGTATATTTCACCCAGGATACTTAAGTCTGTCAATACTAAAGATAGAGACAAACAGTTTTTAAAACAGTTGTATGGCCTTTACATGCCATTATTCTCCTTCCCACTTGTTGAAACACTGAACAACACTGATTATGCCACTTGTGGTTTCAACTCCCTAAAAATAAGTATTGTTTATCTACACTCAGATCATGAGTTGCCAGTATAAAGAATACAGTATGATCCTTTCCAGTTCTTCCTCACTCCCAACCTCTGCACCTGCTGGATAATTGCAGGGTGACATTCTGGTTCTAGTACCATCTGTGTATTAAGCTTACCATGCCCTTTCGGGGCAATTTCATATTTATCTATGTAATAAGGATATCACTATGTAGGCGCAACCACAAGTTCTGAGATACTGCAGGCTGTACCACTTACGTTAGTTGTATGATCAGAAATTTCAGGGTGGTTTTCTGAGGCTAAACATGTGAAGGCCTGGAGAGTTTCAGGAAAGGCTTACCGCATTCCTTTTTTTTTTTTTTTTTGGTAAAACCTCAGATTTCCCTCCCCCCCCCCAGGCCTTTACATATCTCTTTGAAGCATAGAGTATTTAATGGAATTTGGTTGCAAACTCATATGTATTATCTGTTATACAACCAATTACCATTCATACTGTTTGTTAAAATATGTTAATTCAAAATGGGAAACTTGTTTTAAATTGATCCCCTCTGGAGAAGTGAATGAAGATATTCAGAGATGTTAAATTGTTACAGATTGTTGTATCTGGAAGTTATTTTGCGTTGCTGTCATATCTTTCACTCTAGTCTTGTGCATTTTTAATTATTTACTGTACTTGCATGGAACTTTTCCTTCATAAAATATTTATTTTAAAACAAATATGCCATTGTAAACAAATATACCATTGTTTACAAACCAGATAGTATGGTTTTGTTGGGAAATTTTATATGAAAATGAGTCATTTCTTATACAATCTGCAGGCATTGACTTCAGGAAGGTTGACAGGATCAACTAAACTGACAAACAGGAAAAAAGAGTAAGACTATCTTCATTAATACATATTGATATCACTGCCATGTAAAGCAGCTAATTATTAGTATTGGCCTAGGTCAGAGATGAAGCTATTCTGTTTCACCTGATCATTGGCTGTGTTAGATTAAAATTCTGGGATGAAGTCCAACAATATTTCCAGGGCTGTTGTTTCCCCAGCCTTGCTGTTGATATTGTTCCTGTTACCTAGCAAAATCCAATTTTTGCAGATAACATAAAAACATAAAGGCATTTAAGATGTTTAAGATTTGTCAACAAACAAAATGTGTTTCACCCCATCACTTCTTTGTTGCTCTTCCAAGTGATATAAGTGATGAAGAACTGTAGCAGCCTTCTTCAACTTGAGTCTCTCTAGCTATGCTGAGATTTAAAATTCCAGAGTTCCCAATCAGCACTGGCAAAGATGCAGAGATGCATCATAATATATGGTGAGAGCAGGGCACCAAGCTAGAGCAGGCAGATCTGCTGTAAAGAGTCTCCTATGTCCACAGAATCTGTACTTTTCAAGATTCTGAACTACCCAGAAAATCTCAATAGGTACAGAATACTATCTGCTATAAATAGTCTTTCTGTTGATTATCTCCTTGCATTTATGTGTTATACAATGCAGAATGCTTGAAAAGATATTACAGTACTTTCAAACTATTGTTCTAATATAATTGTTTACAGAGTTTCTTCTGCAATTGAATTTTAGTATTTCTGATTTCCTAATAATAAATGTTGACATTATGAATTGTTCTTTAATTATACATTGAACAGTTCATCAGGATATTATTTCTGTATTCCAGGATTGCTCCGAGAAAAGTGGCATGTACAGAATCTGATGCTGGCTACTCCCTGTATTCTACAGATTCTGAGGATCAGGTAAAAAGAGGATGTGATGCAAAAATGTAGCCTGAGAGTTTTGTTTGCAACCTTTTCATCTGTGTTATATTTTCACAAATATATATAGTAATTAAAAGTGTTTAATTAAAAGCAATGTTTATGTTCATTCAGTGCAGATTAGAGTCTTACATGGAAAGGGGAATGCCAGATGTTCAAGCTGGTTTTAGAAAAAGCCAATGAGATATTGCTGATCTACACTAGATAATTGAGATAACCAAAGAATACCAAAAAGAAGTCAACATGTGCTTCATTGACTATAGTAAGGCCTTTGATTATGTCAACCATGTGAAGCTGTGGAATGTCCTTAAGAAAACAGGAATACCAGAACTTCTCATTTCCTCATGTGAAGCCTATACACAGGATACGGAGCCATAGTCTAGAGGGAACCGGGTAAAACAGGTCATCAAAGGAGTGAGATAAGGCCGCATACTCTTTTTTTGTTTCTGCAACCTATATATTCTGTGGAAGGTGAAAGTTAGAAGTAGGATGGAAAGAGTATTAATGTGCTTGAACTTTGGTGTTGGAAAAGACTTCTGAGAATATCATGGATAGCTAAGAATTATCTGTATAAGATATCCATGCATGTGTTAAAAGGAATTTTGAAATTTTTGTTTAGTACGTGGTGATACATTTATCTGTCCCTTTTCTAGATTGTAATAATCCTAAATATTTGGTTTCAACCAGACAAATGGATTCTCTCCCTAAATACAAGAATCATACAAACAGGACTTTCAGTATTCCTGAGATTAATATTCTTTGTCCTGCTCATTTTTTCCTATTACTTTGCCTTACTGAATCCTATAAACAGATCTGAAGTTTTATAAAGGTCAGATCTTGCAACTCAAATAATTTTAGGGAGGAAATGTTTTTATTGCTAGAATATTCACTAGTTTAGAGCATAAAGATAGATTAATGAGCTCGCTTCCTATGCTAGAAGCTGCTCTTTGTAAACTTCTTAATATCTTTTCTGAGGTTACAAATATTCATCAAGGCCTTGATCGCTGTGCATCTTTGCTAAGGGACATTCTGCAGAATGAGTCCCAAGGTAAAAATCCTTTTGATTACTTGAATATAACATTCATATCCTTGATAGCTTACCTTGTGGCTTAAATGGTGTTGTTTCAAATGATGCTAGGAATCAAGGGGATCTCTCAAAAAGCAGCAAAAGCACCTACTTTCAGAACAACTTCCAGACCTTTGCTAAATAAAATGAGTGGTGCTAAAAAAGGGGGTGCAAAGAAAAAAACTCTTTCAGCAAATGTGCAAAAAGAGACAGGTATGCACTTTTTCTTCAAGTTTAATTTTTTTTACCATACGTTTATCTAATTCATTCAGCATTCTGCTTCAACTACATAATACTTTTTAAAAAGTTATAAGATGCAATTGTTGCCTCCGAAACCTGAAAGTCTGGTTTTGTCTACAGTTAATGTTATAGC